CGCACTCATTGCCTGGAGCCAGCAGAAAGGCTCATATAGCTGTCAGCAAGCTGATAAGAGTTGAAATTATTCTACAGAGCCCTCTTTAAAGAAGAGCCAAAGAAGCACATTAAACGAAAGGGAGGAGGGGTCAGAAAAGCCAGCCACTCATGTTGTTTTAACGTGGCACTAAAACAAGTCATTGATTTACGCATGTGTCTCCAGGTCTGCTTGACCTGCAGTCTGAACTTTTCTTCAGGTCAGGGCTAAGGCACGGGGCATGTGCACTAAAAAAAGAGCCCCTAATAGTTTGTCCAGGTATTGCCACTGTGGGAACAAACAGCGCAAATTACATGCTTTCTAAACACTTTTTTAAAAGTTATTTTTAAAAAAAAAAAAAAAAAAAGCAAAAGCAAATTTATATTCTTTATTAGTTTTTAACTGTCCATACAGAGACTGAAAGGACAAGCAGCTGTGCTTATTTTCATTTCTAGTTAATAAAACAATGAATGCCACTCGGCCATTCAGTTACTGGAGTTTTGGGGTGTTTTTAAAGTCAACATCTTGCAGGCTTTCAGGGAAGTGAATTATGGATACACAGAGAGGAGAAATCTATGCATCTGAAGTAAGATTCTCTCAGTTAAGCGTTCGTCAGCCACTGAGGCTCAGAGGTTTTTGAGACACACTGATAATGGCAAGCAGCAGCCACCGGCGCTGGTGCTGCCCCGCTGCCACCAGGCCCGGGCTGGGACCAGGCCCAGGCCGCGCGCAGGCCCCAGCCCGGGCTCTGCACCCTGCAGGGCCTGCCCGGGGATCTGCAGCCTCTCAAGCCAGGAGGTGCCTCCTGGCATCCATCTCCAATGGGTTTTCCTCCCCTGGAGTTTTTCAATAACTCTGGGCTGTGTTTTTTAATCAGAGTTTCAACTCTTGTTAGTAGTAACAGGAGCTAGGGAGCATCAAATGAAATTGCATCAAACAGTGCACAGTGATTCCTATCCCCTTCCTTCATGACATTCTTATTTCATAAGATCTGTATTTCATTCTAGTCCCTCATTTTTGAGAGGAAGAGCCTTAGACCACCTAACCCGTCCTCACATGGAACCCCTGGCAACCCTTGTTCTCTTACATCCTTTTTGAGACAGAAGAACCACAACTATGTATTCCAGGAGAAACTATACAATACATTTACGTAGTAGCATAGTATTTCCCATACCATTCTCTATACCATTTTTAAAAATTCTTTATGTCACCTATTTCTTTTTTTGACCACAACTGACAATGGAACTTTATTTTCACACTCTTTACTATAGCTCCAAGAGCACTTTTCCAAGCTATTTCAGCTACTTAGGAGGCCGCCAGTGCATATGAAAAGATTATTTTCCTTCCCATTTATATTTCTTTCTTTTACCTATGCTGAACTTCATTTGCCACTAATCACCTTGCCATTCTGTATCCAAATTTCTTCAGCCTAAGACAGTTCCAACTAGAACCTCTGCTAAAGCAAAATCATTCACACAGGCTTTACCCAGGAGGATTCTGTATTGCTGTGAGCTTGAGCTGCAGGTTTTCTCTTAAAAGCAGTGCTGTTTTGGGGTGCTAATCTTCTACTCAGCTACCTAATTTCATAAAATGTCTTATCGTCAAGTTTCATCTCTTTTTATTTGGGCCAAAAGCAGGTTACAACATAAAAGCTTGTGGGACATGCAAGAAGCCTGTACTTGCTATTTGAGCATACCCATTTCCTTAGAGAACCAGGATGAAAAGAACTCTTGCATTCCACCACTGCACCGCTCCGTGCTTGCACGCAGTGAATAAGTTATCTATTCTGGTCTTCCAGAAGAGACAGTAATTACAAAGTTTTATTGTTGGAGGGCAGGAAGACTTCTGAACATGCTGATAATCAGTGGAGAAATATTTTTAAATGTCTTTGTATTTGGAGAGAAAGAGCCATCTCTGGCAAATAGAAGCTGTAGAGACTTGAATTTAAGTTGTGGGAAACTTTCAGGCTAGTTAAAGACATTTACGTATGAAGTTCAGTACTCCCAATGTTTTAAAAGGTTTTGCTTTTTAAAGCAAAACGTGAGAAAAAAATGAGTTGGGAGGGGAACAATACGAGGCACAGGACAAACAGGCACCCAAAGGTTGGTTTTGCCCCGTTTTTTACCTCCTATTTCCCTCTTCAGCAGCAGATTTCAAGTCTCATTCTCCACCATGGACGTCCCACTTCTGGGCCCCCCTCGCCAAACCTGGCCATGACCCGGCCGGGGGCTGCCGGCGCAGAGGGCCGGGAGGGCCGAGGCCGCCGCGCGGCCGGCCGGGCTGCTCCTCCACATGCCTCCGGGCACTTCTGCCAGGGCTCCAGGCTCCATATGGAACTATTTGGGAGGGGGATGGTTCAAGGAAGCTTCAAAGAAAATGGGAATGACAACATTACTGTATAAAACAGACAAGACAGCAATCCCAGAGATGCCTAAGTTTCATCCAGACTGTTATTAATTTCAGCAGCTCAAATAGCGGAGGCTCTTTTTGATGGGCAATGTGTTGAAGGCTCTAAGAGCCAGCATATGCTTCGCTGCAGCTTTCATGGGTGTAGTCAGCACATGTAATGTTCAATATAGGCAACTTTTTTTCTCCACAGTGCAGGTTAAGGTATGATCACAGGAAGGAAAATAACTATTACATTTTGTGAGAGTCATGGCAGGCAAAGTGTCTGCAAGTGAGAATAAAAGCATTCCTTCATATTGTACTTGCTACAGATCTGAATGCAGCCAGTTCTAATGCACGGCAATAGAAGTTAGCTCAGGTTTCCTACAACCCAGCACCGCTTAAATCAACAAATACTATCTTTTTCCTGATTTATACCACAAACTCTCAACCAAGCAATTAGCTTATAAATAAACTTATATTATGGGAAATCAGGTCCAGGACATACTAGCAGTAGATCCTGGCAGATTTCGACTCCAAGGGTAAAACACCTGTGTTTTATCCTCTTCATGCCAGGAGCAGCATGATGTTCATGATCAGTGTACAAACTACAGAAAAACTTTTTCAAATACAGGTTCTTTTACATTATATATTTAATAATTTTTCTAGAATTCTTAGATTCACAGGAGAAAAAAATAAATGTAAGAAGCCAAATCATGTTCCCAGTAGCTGTAACTGTGAAGCTATTTTTTCCTCTTGCCACTCCTGCTGTTTTTGCCTGCGCACCCCACAAAAACGGCTCATTTGTGTGAAGGGACCAAGGAGAACGGAGACCCCTGATGGCCGCTGTAGTGTTTGCAGACTTAAACTGCACACAGAATAAAGTGAAGCTGGCAGCAGAATTCAGACATGGGAGACACCAGTAAATTGACAGTCTATTTTCTCCACACACACATGCAGCATAAATAAACACCATGCAGAGTTTAGCCTTGGCTGGTTAGAAATAACGATACTTAGTGATGTAAAACACATGCCCTTGGCCACTTTTTTATAAAGACGACACATAAGACAGCTTAGTCACAAGCTGTGCAATGGTATTTCAGAAACTTGTCCTCATGAGTTGCAAAAATCCCACTACAGACATCTTAGACACCTTCACACTCATCTGAGACCGTTTACTTTTTCCCCTATCCATCAAGCCCTCACTTTCTGTAGGCCTCAGTTCCTCACCAGTAAAACTGTGCTAACAGCATCTTTCTACCTCATGATATGCTCATGTACTATATATACAGTGACGATGCCTAAAGATTCCAGAAATCTGTTTACAATCTAACATATGTTAGCATCTTCTCTCACCACAAGCCCCAAAATGTAATTACCTATTCAAACTACCAAAATAACCATGGGTTGAATCCTTTCATACTTACAATTTGACAACAAAACTCTACATATTTTACGAAAATCCTCCTACGTCTAACAGTACTGATCTGTTCAGCCCCACTGTGTGCATGAACTCCTGAATTAAAGCCTGGTGATGACAATGTCCATAACAGGAGAGCTTTAAGAGTAACAAACAGGCAAGAGCATCAACTGGAATTAACTGCAAGATGTTTCATTTTGACTATACACCCGACACACAGATTTCATTTGTAAGTTGAGCAACTCAGGACCTCAACTTTTCCAGTCACAAAATAAGTAAAATCCCCCCTCATAGGCATCATCACCTTATTCAAAATATTTAAAGCACTTCAGCTTAACAACTCGTTGCATTTGAGAGCTTAAAGTTTATCTATAACCAAAAATTTCCCTAAGTATAAAGAAAATCTTGAACTTTCTTTTAGAAATTTAGATATTATGCAAAGAAAAAAAGAAAAAAAACATATATAAGTATGTATATACACCTTGTGATTTCACCAGAGAAAACTCAGTAAACAAATGCAGGCAGCAAACCTGCATTCAAGGAGAGCTTCCATTCTAGTATGCATTAAGAAAACAGACTGGACAAAAAAGAAAAAAGAAGGAAAAAGTGAAGTTACTGAACGTGCAGTCTAACTGGATTACTGGGAGCCAGCAATCTCCATTCCCATGGTAAATACCTATGATCCTTATACGAAGAAGCAGGCACTCAAAACCTCAACTGTACATTTCATATCTGCTGCTGCCCAGGATGGGGAGGCTTTGATCCCTGTGAATGCTAAAGATCCTATAATATATTTCACAACAGCATACACATTAACATGCTAGGTTGGAGGAATTCCAGTCCCGAGTAACTGAAGTCTGCCTACGCAGGCACTCCTCTGCAATTGCAATCATATGCCCTACTCTTAACTTCCTGACCTAAGGGCTGAGATAGCACTGCTGAGCAGCTGCTGTTTAACAGATTTAGCTGCACCACTGATGGCTACAGACAAAATATTGAAAAGTAATGGTGAATGCATGTGTTTAGCATAAAGAAGAGGGCCGAATAATCATAATATTAACATGAATATATAATGGGAGCTGCTGCATCACCAGATTTCACATTAAGACAGACCTACAAACCCATGTCCTAAACATGGATAAAGAAAAAGGATTTAACTATGGAACTTTTATTTTACCTGTCTTTGCATCTCTTCAATCTGTCTCTGAGGAACACTTTGCAGAATGCTATACATTTCAGGCATCTTTTCTTCTGGGATGACAACTGAGGCTCTGCAAGTGAAAAAAAAATGGTTAAGATGAGTCAAAGAAAATTTTGTATTAAAAGGTTACAATGGCTCTTTCTATTAAGACACATTTGGAAGATCTTAGAAGAAAGAAACTGTCTGCTCTCTGTATGATTACTCTGCTGCAGTGGAATTCCTTTACCAGCCCAGACAATTTGCCTATGGGCAATAACACCAGTCTGTAGACTGATCTATAAAGGCAATAAAAATACAGGACAAACAGAAACACATAATTCCTCAATTCTAATCCCAGGACTGCCACTGAGTTCCTGTGATCTTAAGTCTTTTGGAACAAACATTAATAGCATATGCAAACTGATTTTTATATATATTATTCTTTTGGAGTGAACAAACACTAATAGCATATGCAATGCTACTCGTGCAAACTGATTTTTATATATATTATTCTAAGGTCATACACAGACTGGGCATTGTTTATGCATGCAAAAATACCCTCAACTCTACAGTATGTTCATCTACAAAATCATATTCCTTAGTCTTAGAACATATGAATCACAATACAGTATAGTGAATTTAGCATTTAAGGGAAGCAATATTTGGCATATACTTTTCTTAGGGGAACCTGAGCATAGGTCATTCATCACTGAACACAGGCATAAGACAAAGCAGCACTTCCATAAAAGTTATCATAGGCTACAAGGTAACCAAATGTTCAGTCATCTTTGCCTGCTCTGATTTTCCTCCCGTACTTTCAAATAAAGAGAGCATACATCCCAGTACATTTTATGCACTGCAATCCCCACTACACCTGATTCATCCACAGATTTCATTCATACCACTGAATGCAATGGAGGCTTCTTATGCACATACTTGAGGTACAAGAGTTAGGGTACAGACCTCTTCCAGTCCAAAACTTCAGAGAAAGGTAAAATATAGGAATCAGCAATGACGACTGGGACACAGCCAGCTTGAAGAACATCACTCAACACTGCTTGTCCCAGGCGGGCTCCTCGCAGGACGACACAGAACGTAGCCTCCTAGCAGCAAACGGCACCAACACAGAAGACAAAAGGAAGGAAACGTAAGAGTTGCCTTATTATGCATTCCTGCTTTTCTTCTCATAAAGAAAAAAACAGGCCAAAAGGTAAACAGACACTTTTCTTCCATGTCAGCAACATAATCTAAATTATCAGCAAATTCAAATTAATTACACAGCTTCATCAGCTACTGAGTCAATATAATATAAGACTCGTAACCTCAGATTTCTAACTGAGAAAACTGATGGGGAAAAATAAATATTCTGAAATTTCGGCCTAACTAGGTAAGCAACAGTCAACATGAAGTTACCAAAAAACAATCCATATTAAGCCAATCCATTTTTTTCCATTATGACAATTGGGCTCTATGGATAGCAGGGAAGTAATAGATTTCATAACTTTAAAAGACCTTTGACCACCTCAAATAACATTCTCACAAGCAAATTAAGAAACATGGGCTAGATAAAACTGTCACTGGGAAAAACATAAATTATAATTACAGAACTCTAAATGTAAAGCAGTTAGCAGTGACTCAGAGGTAAAAATACATGATGGATCAAACAGTGTTTCAAAGAATCTCTCCTAGATACAACATTATTAAGGGTGTCCCCTGATTAGTTGCATAGCAGAATTAAGACAGTACTTACTAAATTTGATGGTATCAACAATTTTGGAGGATGATTAGCGAGTGTAATTCTCAAAACAGTTAGAATTTGAAATTACAGGGAGACACTGACTAAAAATACAGATATATATGGTTCAACACTTAGATAAAACTAACCATCTGCAGAAACGCAAAGCAAGGCAACCTCTCTATTTTCCCTGGAAAGAAACATTTTGCAGAAAAGGACAGGAAAAGAAAGAAAATTCATATGTCAACAGTGCAGTCTCACTGAAAAAAAAAATAAACAACTCTATCCAAAGGCAGTATTAGAAGGCAAGAGAGAAGGACAAACTAGGTGACCCAAAGTTATGCATCACTCTGCTGAAAAATGGTTAAGATCTCAGGGCAGCATGACCTGTCTTGAACAATGTACTCCAAGAAGAATAAAATGTACTTGAACAATGTACTTCAAGAAGATAGTATAAAGACTCAAAACAAACAAACAAAAAACCACTACCAACAAAATATTATCTACAATGAAAGCTTGAATGCAAGAGTTTGTCTAAGAAGTCTGTAAAGGACGACCCGTGATCACGGTCCTCAGGCTTCCCTCCTTCCCCAACTCACAAAAAGAAAAAAAAAAAAGACATCAGGGGAATGGAAGGAGAGGAGAGAATGCACACACGTTTTAACCATCCACTCAGGCAATCACAGGGCAGCAGGTGGAAGAGACCCTGGTAAGGTCTGGGGGAAGAAAAAAAAAGGCAGTCCAGATGTGGACACACATGCTCATCTGCCCAGATAACCATTTTTCCTGTCTAGACAAAGGTTACTATAAATACATCTCCTCACATCACCACTGTTATCAGCCAGACATTCCAAAGGGAGATGCAGGGCTCTGCAAAGGAAAGTATTTTAACAATCTCGGCATGTACCAGCTCTTCTCTGAGTTGTGTTATATACTGAGATAGAGATATGGATCCCCTTCCTTGCTATCCTCGAGCAGTCCAGTCTGCATTTAAGGAAAGCAAACTTATTTTTCTTTTGGCTGAAACTTTAGGACTGAGGGTGACCCCTTCCTCCCTCTCCTCCTCCTCCTCATGGAATTTTCAACGTATTTCCTCCAAAAACATAACAGGAGAGGCGGAAACTTTGCCTTTCCTGGGCATGTTTGTTATTTTATCATCATTTGTTGAAGTTCAAAGACAGATTATGTGCTTGTGGCCGCAGACAGAGCACAGTGGCCTATGGCACAACTCACTTCACCACGCCGCATGCCAAAGCACCTCTCTGCTTGCGAACTGTCAAGGCACCGGGGTCTGAGAACGCTATCTAGCTTTATCTCCACTGACACATCAAAAGACCTCTGGAAGTTGGGCCAAAGGCATCAAACACATTTCACCTACATGTTTTCATAGGTGCATACTGACAAGTCTTCTGTTCAATCTGTTGTATCTATGCAGGATGTTTTGTAGGCTTTTTAACCAGTAAGCTGCCTGCAAAAACAACCTGATCAATTCCCATTAAATACAGGATTCTTTTTTTTCCCAAATAAGTTTACACATAAGCTCTTTAGAGTTCATTTTACTCTTCCCTCTAATTGACACAGCTGCCAAGTTCTCTTCCAAGCTTCAACTAATGAGACCTAGATTGACAAAGGAGAAATCAATTCCAAATTCATGCCAGCTGAAAGTCAATTTGCCAGTTACTCTGGAGGGTGCAGATTCAAACGGTCATGCAAATTTTTAAAAAGTGCAAATTCATCTGACCACCATAATTTCTTCCTCCCATTTCCATTAGATGCAATGACACATTCGTGTCATCTTCTAAGTTTACATGATGTTGTCAGTGTTCCTAGAAAACTATCATGATCAGCCTCATGAAGTTGAGCAATAATTTCAAACTGCAATTTAATCCATAGATTTGACTCTATAATTCTTATCCTTCTTACACATAAGGACAGAATTTGCATATATTATCCAAGCTAACATAATAAACAACGTCCTAAAAAACATAACCAGCAAGTTAACTGAAATATAAGGAAGTGCCCTTGTATTTGGGCACTACATATGCTAAGTGCTAATGTGCTAAATAGGAACAGCTCCATAGTCTCCAAAGGGAAGAGCAGCTTGCAGGAGAGGCGGCCTTACCTGGAGTACTTGAGGATAATCAAAGACTTGGTTCTTGTGACAGCGTTTGCGAACAGCAGGGACCCCATCCGAGAGATTCGTGCATTTGTCCAGGACCAACACGGACTCCCCGTTCTCGGCCTGAAGAGCTTCCAGCTCAGAGCGGTACTCGGGGTGCAGAGCCATTTGAGAGGACAGAATGAAATACCTGCGAGGACTGAAACACCACGGCCAAGGTTACCCCACGGGGCTGCCAGCTCGCTCCCTTCACACACTGGAGCCCATTCCTCTCCTTCCTGGGAAGGCAGCACCAGATTAACCAAAGGTGGACACATTGCCAAGACCATTTTTGTAGGCAAGGATGTAAGTGGCAATGATGCAGTAAAATGAAGTTTTGGATGGAAGTGGTTCACATTATTTGCAACTTGCAATAAGTTAATATTTACCACCATATAATAAGCACTTGCATTTCAACCTGCTTTGTAAACTGAAGTATCGATCATTCGGTTGCACATTAAAACAGCTCACCATCGACGCCAGGACTCTTCGTTCTTTTACTGCATGCTTTTTTCTAATTACAAGGTAGTTAGAATATTGGATGCTGCTGATAGATTTTCTTCCCAAATACTTTATCAAGAATTTTAGTTGAGAAAAAGCGCTGAACAGACAAATCAATTACCCACTACTCTTTTTTTACAGTCTTGACATGGTGATGGCAACAGCAGGACAAGCTCCTCTCACAGCCTGTGATTCATTTCTGCCCTGTCACGACAAAGGCAACATTTCCAGGACAACACCGAAGGTTCATTATCCCATTCATTTACAATTCCTACCATGTTCCAAAATCATAAATATTTTTTTTTAAAAAAAAAAAGTATCGTGTTCCAAAATCATAAATATTTAAAAGAAAAAAAGTATCTTAAAACCGAAATATTTCAAAATGCTAATTTACTTTGAAGGTAAAACACATAGGGATAGAATCTCAAGTTATATGCTCACAGTTTTAAAATGTTGCAGTATAATAAGTTACACTCATTTACTTTGATTTTCTTTTTAAAGGGATGAGCTGAGTCAGACTGCTCTACCATTCCCCATGCAAAGGAACCCATAGCGGGTGCTTGTCTTCACACTGCCAAAACAACTCAAGAAATGAGGCCTTCACTTAACATTCCAGTTCTCTACATGTGATACTATTTTTAATATAAAGCTCTGAAAACACAAACTTACACATTATAAAGTCAGACCTTTCCTGCTGCTTTTCTCACCCTTGTACTTATTCTCATGCTGGGCTTGTTAGTTGCTCTAATTAACAGCTGAGTTACATAAAAATTTGCTTTTTAAAACATACTTTCTTCCCTAAGCTTCAAGTTGCTACCAGCAGCTTTATAGAACACATATTTCTAGCAGAGGTGTATTAAAACCTTTTTAACTGCCCAACTAAAAACGACAGCAAATCAAAAACTTTCAGTTTAGCTCTGTAAGGTGGAGACGAGGGGGGAATTTGCCTTAAGGAAAGGAAATACTGTTGCAGATGAGTGAAAATAAATGCCTGTGACTAGCTAAAAACCGTGCAGGATCATTAAGGAATATGTTTAAAATCAATTTTTGCCTTTAAACAGTCATCACCCCATGACTTCCAAACCTAGTGACCAAGTCTTGCTATGAAAGCAACCGCAACACAGCTACCAGAAAATAACCCTCTAGGTCAATGGAATGCAATCATTTATTCCAAGCAGGCCTGAATCCTGAGCATCCTTCCCTTATCACATTTCCTTCATCAAACAACTGAGTTTGTGAATGTGTTTCAATTAATAATGCTAAGCGGCCACTAGATGGTACTCTGGAGACTATGGCCCAGTCCTCACACAGGTTATATTCAGTAATGTTTTGGCACTTGCATGTTCTCACGGGCACATAAGCTCACGCACTTGGACCAGCCTCCACGCAAAGGTCTCCCTAGTAGACCCAAACCAGCCGCAGCATTTGGCTGACTGCAGGGACACGAACCATGTCACTGCGCTCTCTTCACTCTCCAGAAAGAAACACCAAAGCTCACTGCCACGCTGCGCTGCACCATAACCACACCTAAGACCCATGAAAAAAATCAACTGGGATCCATCCGATGCCCCATGCCAGTCACGTCGAGGAACAAGCAGAACAGAGAGCACCCATGGAAGGCAAACCACTGCTGCACAAGCTTGAGCCATACCTGGCTGCGACGCCCAGGGCGATACCTGCTCCGGAGCTGGCGGCACCAGCGGCTGCAAGGCCGCCCTCGCCGGCGAGCTGCAGGAACACTGCTGCTCTGACACTGACAGCAGCCTTTGCACCACAGCCTGCTGCTTTAACAACGCATATTTTCTACAAAATGTGGTTAGAAGGAACTAAAGCTTCTGTATTTTGAAACATGATTCTCCGCAACAAATGAGTCATTTACTCTCCCTGCCCACTGCCTCAGTCCACTCATCTTTTTGACAGGGCCTTACTTATGTTGTTACTTTTTTTGTCAAATGTTTTCAGCTGCTAAAGAGGTTTACGAAATATTGGAAGATTTTTAATTGATTAAAACATGTCTTCCAGGCTTCCACCTACTTTTGTTCAGAACAAATGAATGAATCGGAGAAAGCACCACTTTACAGGGTAAATCATATTAACAGCTAAATACGTTCTCTGTTATTTCCCCTTGATTTGCTTTACTTCCAACTACAGGGTTTATGTCTCCCTGCATTGGTTTGGAAGATAAAATTCAGTACTCTAATCTCTGGATTCTAATAATCAAGTCACCTCTCAACACTTCTTTTTCATGAGCTAACCACACTAAGCTCCACAAGACTCATTCTGCAAGACCTTCTTCCTTCAGACTTCCATTAGGAGCTCCTCACTGTCCCTGTTCCAAGCTTTCAACACTACTTTGAAAGGACCCCAGAACTACAGAGGCACTCAAAGTGATCTGGAAAAAAGATGTATCCATATGACACACAGAGCTCACATTCTCATTCCTCCTGTTTATGCACCCAAAGCTTGCATTAGCTGATGCTACTTCAGGCAGCCAGGTTGTTCACGATGACCCCTTTATTCTTTTTAAAGGCCCACTGGAGGCATAGTGTGCTGCTTGTATACCTGCATTAGCAATCTTTTGCCATTGCTTTTAAGCATCCTAAAACAGATTTTGCTTGAATAGATATTTTTGCTTTATTGCTTTGAATTACCACCCTGTTTTATTTGTCAATTAAAAATATATTCATATATATAATATATTCAATATATTCATGATGATTTTTTACTTATTTCCAGAGAGCTGACAATAGATACTGATCCAGAACCAAATCTTAATCTAATTCTATTAGAAACCCTGGCATCGTGTTCCACGCTTCACTTTCTGGAGCAGGACAAACAGAGAAGCACTAGGAAAAAACATATATTCAGAGATAAATCAGCTTGGCAGATTAGCCAGGCAGACAGTAGCACTGGAATAATCGTATTTTAATTGCAAAGCCTATGTGCACACGCAGCAATGCCTACCAAATTGCCCGAGCCTATCAACTAGTGGGCAGCTAAACATACTCAGCAGAACCCATATTAAACACAGTACTGAATATCCTTTGCTCGGTTCACTGGGATAGCTTTACCCTGGTCCTCTTTCCGGCAGATCCACTTCCCCGGACAGCGGGCTGTAGACAGGAATACTGACATCATAGCCTTGCCGGTAAGTCCACGTGGAGAAGCCTCCACCAGCCAAGAGAGCTCTGAAAAGCACAAAGAGAGAGTCTGTAAATAGAGCAGGTTGATCATTCAAAGTCCAGGACACCATTTGCTGATTACCATTACCAGGGTATCAAAAGAATATGTGCTCCAAGAGATGAGTTTTTCCTCAGCTTTCCTTAGTGGTATTTTTCATGCAATTGTTAAGAGTCACTTTAGCTTTCCCATACTGGCTTAATACCAAATGGGAGCCAGTCACCAATGGAAAATTTAGGATTATACACAAGACACTAAGGAAAGAGACAGTTTTGCATAAAACAGGGAAGCAATATATTGCAGCCATTATGATTTTAGAAATCTTAAACGTCCCAAGTCGATTCTAATTTAAATAAATACATTCCCAATTACATGTATTAATCAACTTATTCCACAACACTCGTCCTAAAACACTGGATAGCACAGCTTCTGAAGAGCTGGAGACGAGCTTTATTCCAGGTATAAGTCCAATAATACAACACTTGGGCAGTTTACAGCAACTCAGGACTCTCGGGCTAGAAACTTCTAAGGAATTATTTGCTATCGTACTTTCAAAGTGATCACACAAACTAGTGAAGTTTATTTAATTCTAATATTGCAAAACAGGAATGCTATAAATGAAAACATGACAACGAGGACTCCACTATGATCTGAAATTATTTTCTAAGAGTAGAGGCAGCTTGGGATGCTATGTGCTAGAAAGCATGGGAATAATCAAAGCTGGATAAATTAAGATATATTTCAGCCTCCCAATGGGATGGCCCCGATTGTCTGTGGCTTTTCCTAGATGGGGCAACCTTCTGCCACACAGAAAGAAAGAACTGTACGGAAGAGGCGAAAACAATGCGTGCAGAAGAAAACAATGCATCATTCACTGTGCCAGAAGGAAAAGCTGTCTTATTATCTCCCATGCCAAATCAAGAGGCTTTGAAATATGTGAATAGAGGACATGAGTTTCTCAGTTACCACTGCATCCCCAGGGACCAGGTGGTACAACGAACACCCCATCCTACTCCCGCAAAGACGCTCAGCGCTCGCTTTTCTCAGTCAGCTTTCTTGAGCAGCTTATTAAACTTTCAGGCCTTTGCCACACAACAACATGGTGTGCTATACTTTAAGCTGTCCTGGGAATACTGGGTCTGCTAAAGTTACCATATAAAGTAATTTGCAGAAAAATATTTTTCCAATTCCAATTTCTCTCATTCTCGAGGGAAAGCAGCAGAACACAAACATACCACTGCAGCAGGCACCACAGCAAGGATCCTGAGGAGCTGTACTTGTCGAAGCAGCTGCGATTACAGCCAGAAGCCTCATTTCCCCACGCTTGCACACTGTCAGTTTGTGAACTGAGCAGGCACTTATCTCCCTTATTGTCAGTTATTCTGAATTAAATCTTTAGTATAGTAGTTGGAAAAGCAGTTTTTTCCACAGCTGTTGTATAATCAGTTACCTACATTATCATCCAGGACCCCATCTATCATTTTCCCTCCCTCAGAACAAGATGTTCTGCTTGAACATCACTATGTCCTGCCTCTTGCAATTCCCTTGAGGGACTCCATGAGATACTTCATTTCTGGCTTTAACTGTAGTACAGAGTTCCCCAGTATCCTGACAATAGGATTGCCCTTTGCTGTGTGTGTGAGACTACACCCAGCTGGTCAAGTAAGCAGCACTAAATGTCATTTAAGAAGCACTTTGAAAATCTTAGAGGCAAGATTAGGGGTGTAAGTTCATGAAAATTACTAAAATCGAAGCAATTTGCCTGTCTTTATTACTCTTCACTCACAACACAAATCATTTGAAGGAGCAGAAATGACTTGAGAAGACAGTGATAATAAATCGAGTGAGTGCTGAGTGAAATTTATCTTCCAAAGCGAGTAGTTTGGATTCTCCTCCAGAGCCTCCTCCTCGGTGCCAACTCTGTGTCGATGTACAGTGGTGCTACAACCAGATCTTGCCCTCCAGGCTTCATGTTCCATGTCACATTCACATAAACTCAGGTACGAGCAGGGAAAAAAAAACGCCTTGGGTCTTGCTGTTCTTGCACTTTAAAACCCTCCCTTTTCTTTTTTTTAACCCCCTAATTTGGAAACTACAACCAGACTGTTTTAATTGGATCCAGTGTAAACATGACAGCACCTCATCAGCCTTGAGAAAGCAGGTGTGTGTCACACAGACTTTTACTTAGAGAAACCCAGGGGAACCGACACCAGTTAAATAACTCCACTCAGATTTTCATTGTATGGTGCAGGGAGGAACGGAGGCATTAACTCCCAAATAACTCAGGACAAATAATCTTTAAATTGCATTGATCAGAGGAGGGAACCTGTTCCCAACTTTTCACCACTTCCCAGATATTGATCCTTCCTTCTTTCCAGAAGGACTCTAACTGGACTGTGCTCTAAATGTTCCTGCCCAGCTGCCATCGTCACCCGTTTCAAAACCTCACAAACCAGTGGAACCCATTTCAACAACCAGAGAAGCTGAAGCAGGAAGACAGATATCTGACCATATGTTCAAATGTATAGCTACGGAGCAGGTTAGCCAAAGAAATTCCTTCACCCTCAAATATTGTACTAAATAGAGTGGCATCTATTAGAGAGCTTATTTGCCAAGTATTATGACAGGAGTTGCATGTGCTATGGCAGCTACTACCAGCAATATAGCCTTCATGCCAGCAAGGCAGACTTCCATCTTCAAACTCAGGGAACAGGCTGCTTTGACACTGTCTTGTGGAAACTCATTTTAAAGATTAAAAAACACACACACACACATAGTGAGATAACCTAGCTAAACACTTTTCCAGGTGCAAAATTACTATACGACTGAATTGCCCTTTGTGCATAAGGTCTGAATTTACCTGGATTAATATTCTGCAATAAATCAATACAACATGATTCCATTATATCCCATGACCTTATAGCACTCTACTGCTCATATAGGTATGGTATCTTATATGTGCTGAATAAAGGTAGAATGCACTCCCTGTGCAAACTTCCTAAATATCACCTGTGATTTTCATCAGTGATCCCACAAAAATCCCATAAATCCAGTTGTTCTGGAGTTGTATGAGGATAATTCAGTTCTGTCATTCAAAATCCATCAGGCCTCTGCCAGGATACCTTTACTTTGGCCTGCAGCTTCTCTAAGAACAGCTATTCTGCACATTTAGCCAGCTTCCCACTCTGTAACATGTGTGCACATTCCCAGATTAACATAACACATTTGGTCCACTTGTTCTGTTAGATATAACCCAATTTGCAGCATATTGCAACCATACACTGTACCACTCGGGTCCTTCCAGGTCCTACCACAGACTTCTTCACAGATCACTCCTGTGACCAGATTTTTACACTACACACAAAACAACTTGTCCACTGCCTAAGAAAAGGAGTTCCCACACTTTCTCAGCTCCAAATCTCACTGCTGCCTCCCTTGCATCAGCGCTGCAGGTTCCCTTACATGTAGTTGCAGAGCAAGTCGGATCAGCAAAGGGATTTCACCAAAATTTCACGTCTGGTCTCCAAAACAGTTAGTTTTTCACATGATTGTTGACTTTATTCTAGACACCATGCAAGGAAGAGAAAAAGAACATGTGGCCAAAGGAAAAGCAGAACTCCTCTTTTCACCACCATCCCGCTGTTTTTACATATACACTAGCATCACATGAAACTGTAATCTGACAGAGTTGAATTACATGTTGACTCCAGCATAGACAGTCATATTAGCAAAACTAAGCCTTTACTAGTATGTCTCACTTGGCTGAAGGGGTGGTTTTATTGTCTAGGCATAAAACACAGTATTACGAGTAAAAGTACAGTTGTGCAAGCACCTTTAGCCTAGCTGATAGGTGCTTTTGCCAGAAAAAAAAAAAAAAAAGATTTGATATTTGATTTGAATTACCCAGCTTTGCCCAGTAGAATAACAAGCACTTAGAGCTAGCACCTACTGAGTAATATATTTCCTGCACAGTAAGCCAAGATACCTAAAGGCAATTACAAGTGGACACTTAACAACAACAAAAGAAGTTGCGCAGTACACGAAATCTACTACATGCAGTTAACAAATCCACTTCCATGGACATATATCTCTACATGCACAAACAAACAATCCCAGAATAATAGGATTCCAGTGCATCTTATAAAACAAAACACTGTCGAGTAAAAACTCACCTTAAGAAATACAAAACTTGACACAAACACGGGTATGTAGTAACAGATAAAAAGCTGTAGTTCCCCAAGAACGATGCGTGACTGCCCTCTTCAGGGTGCCCTGTATCACGCGCATATGACACCACGCAGTGAGGTGCAAACCGCCAGGAGCACCGGGCAGGCACTCGTGCACGTACCAAACACAAACTTACTCTTTGAATGCACCCAGAATAACCGAGTTCTGCTTTAACACCCAAGGACAACGCTTTAAATCATCCACGATGCAAAGAAATCTACACATACTCCATATACAATGATCTCAGCAAAGATCTCATATCTTAGTGAAGATTTCATTGACAAAATAATTGACATAGAAAATTCACCCTGATATTCGGAAGAGGAACTGGTTAAATAGGACCTCATTTGGAAGAACTAAACATATATATGTTAATCTGGAAGAAACGTACTTAGTAACAGTTTTTAAAACTACACAAATTTATCTTGTTCTTATTTCAGCTTTCTTTCTTATATTGTACTTTCTTTTTACAAAAGCAAACTATTCTACAAGTGAAAAGTAAGTTCAGGATTCACAACACCTTTTATATTCCTGGCAAATATTTTCAAAAAGCACTTGCTGGAGAAGAACTAAGAACAATTGTTAAATTACCAGTACAGTGCAATTCTTAAATAACAGATTCACCGGAATGACAAGTGCCTTTAAAAGGCCTTGAAGCATCGTTGAAACTTAAATCGAAAATGAAAGTTAGCATTCATCTTTAGACTTCCGATTTGTATTTAATGGGACTTCATTAACGGGACAGCCCTCAGACTTGGTAACAAGAAATGCGGGTCTAAATTTGAAATTCTCCATCCTTACAGCACATCTAACAGCAGATCACACCCCTTCCAAAATTAAGAATGAGGCCAAACTGTCAGTTTCCAGGAATAAACATTTGTCCTGAAGGAAAGGGGAACTGATTATTTCCTTTTTTTTTTTTTCCTCCCTCCTTGAAAAGACAAAGTCTCACTCACGGAACAGCAAAATAGTTGGGGTTGGAAGGGACCTCTGGAGACCCTCTATCCAAATCCCCTGCTCAAGCAGGGTCTCTTGCAGCACGTTGCCTGAAACCATGCCCAGGCATTTTTTTGAGTATCTCCAAGGCTGGAGACCCCACAACCTCTCTGGGCAACCTGTTCCAGTGTTCAATCACCCTCACAATAACGTGTTTCCTTGTATTCAAGTGAAATTTCCTGTGTTTCAGTTTGTGCCACTGCCTCTCGTCATGTCACCAGACACCAGCGAGAAGAACTTTGCCCCATTTGCTTGACACTCTCCCATCAATCCTTTATACCTCTGGTAAGATCCCCCTGAGCCTTCTCTTCTTGAGGATAAACAGTCCCAGCTCTCAGCCTCTACTCATATGAGAGAGGCTCCAGTTCCTTAAAGACCTTTGTGGCTTTTCCAGCTTTGTAAAGGTTAAGGAGTGTGGCCTTTGCTACTAGCCACGCTTCTGAGCTTGCTGCTTCTTTAGTGGCATTTAAAATCAGACCCAATACATGCAAACACAGCAAAAAGCATACCTATCTCTGGGAACATCCAGTGCAGTGTTATAATCCGGTGCCCCCCCAGGCAGCATATTGAAGAGCAAGTGATTTGTGCCTCGATCCCACCTAAGGGAAAAGAAGGAACAGGTGACCATTAGAAAGGCACGTTCTCTGGACGGATGATAAACTCTCTCAAAGTCTAGCCGTGACACTGACTCACGGTATACTCCCCTCCAGCATTCACCTGAACTTGAGTCCTTCACCTCACTTGAGTCCTTCAAACACACACGCTGACACGTGCAAGTACCTGGATAACTGTGCCAAGGCCTGAGCCGTCTCCTTGATGCGGAGCGTGTTCTGGTTGAGGACATCTATGGACGGCACAAAAAGGCAGGCCCGGTTGACATCGTCGGTGTAGAACTCGCTGTCAGAGATGGCAGTCAGCAGCTCGTTGTATTCCCTGGAGATGGTGTTGCTGACAGGTGTCCCATATTCATCCACATACTTCTTCAGCGAGTAGATGTACACCTTAATTTTGTTTTTGGGATTGAAGCCGCAGCGATAGACGTCGAAGCAGGTGTGCATCCTGCAGCTGAGGTCTCCTCGCTCAGGAATGGGGCTGTCGGCAGGGAGCTTCACCACAGGCACATCGTGGACGCTGCGTTTTTCAACAGTCCAGTCGCTGGATGACTCAATGGAGTGTGGCCAGAACTGGAACATTCCTGTAGCAATTAGGCCAAGCAGAACTATAGAGAAGAGGGTGATGTAGTAGATGCGATGCTTGGTTTTCATTCTTGGGATGAGGGCTGGACCCCGGGTGTTGTATTTGGCTGAAGCACACATAATGGAATCAATTATCTCTTGTTTCTACAAAAGAGAAAAAGATAGGTTTGGGGATAAATTCTCAAAGAGACACATCGCTATCACACAAGGTGCAGAACCACTCAGCTAACATTCAGGTTGGGGAACATTCAGGTTCTTTGCCTCGGCAGGCTGCGGGGAAGTCTCTTCAGATGCTCATACGTCCCACTGGGACACGAGATGCCAAGTGATCTACACAGTGGGAACAACACTCATCTGCTGGGCCTCCCTGCCACAGAATGATGCAGGTTCACAACCACAAAGCACAGAAGCACACGGCCTGGGGAGCAGGGTGCCAGAGGAGTTGGGGAGCCCCCAAGCACTGCAGAATTAAGATGCCTTCATAGGTCTCACTCCCTCTGTGACTAAATGGATTCACAGTGAATAATAAAAAGGCAACTAATGCTTGAATCAGCTGTGAGAGAAGAGAAACAACTTGGATACCCCATAAAGGGCTTCTGAAGGAGCAGCACACACAACGTAAGATGGTGTAAGACTCCTGCCTTTCTATGACATAAAGTAGCTATCAAAACGCATTTTATAGGAGCCCAGCCACATCCAACCAAAGCAATGGCCATGCACTTCTACTACAAACATGGAATTAACTTTATCAATATGCCTTTCGGGGGAAAAAAAAAAAGGTGCCCTATGAGTTGCTACCACAGCTACGTAAGAAAAGCATTTAAAGTAATAGTTCAGATTAGCCTAAAAAACAACTTAAGAGTGAAAAGTGCAATACAATATAAAGTACCGTAAATCCATTCCCAAAAATATTGTCGTCTTAGATTTTTTTAAAAACAATTTTGTTGCACAAAAAATGTAGTTCCATCACGAGGTAATTTTTACCAACTACGGACTGAAGGATCAGCTGCTCATTACATGCAAAAAGCTTCTTATGTTTTCAACTCAAGGTTTTATACTAAGGAACTATAACTGGAGCCTTTATTCTTCTCTAGGAGCTGCTTAAAGGCCCAAAAGCTTTTTCCCTCCTCGGAGGAGAACACAGGTGATATGGTTAGCACAATCATCCTTCCTGAGCCTGACAAAAACGATGGGATGTTTTCCTGCTCCAAGAGCAGGAAAGCCTCAGCCACCTGCCCACCAGGGAGCTAAACGGAACGGAGCGGCTACCGCTAAGGGAGCAGCAGCAGCCCG